AGGGGGCGGGGCCGCCGGAGCCACGCCTCCGCGCGACGGCACCGCCTGCAAGGCCCGCCCCCGGCGGGGTGGGTGTAGCGCCCGGCCCGTTCTGCGCAGTCGCGGGGCGAGGGGAGGAGCTGTGGGAATAAGTGTGGTTGGGAAGCGGTGGATTCCGGGCGTCTCGTGTGATGACGGCAGGCGCTTAAGGGAAACAGGAAACAATGGATTGGGAAGATGTGTCACCCCTGTTCCCGGCAGCCGAGAGACGCTCCCCCGGGCCCGCTCCCAGCCACTCCCACGGCCGCGTGCCAAGTCTCCAGCCCAGACCCGCGCCCTGAGCCCCGGCCTCGCACAGCCGGCTCCTTCCTGGACGCCTCCACACACGCGGCAAATGCAACACGTCCCACGCGGATCCGTCCGCTCCTGCCAGAGCTGCCCCTCTCCGTGCGTCCCCTGTCTCTGCCAATAAGTGGCACCCTCTCCTTTCAGCTACCCGAGCCGAAAACCGGTGCGTCACCACTCACACCAAGCGGGCGCTCGGCTTGATAGTGTCTGTTCATTAAAAGACCTCCTTGGCCACTCCCACAACAATAGTGAACGGGAAAGTGTGTGGCCATTTCACACGCTGGGAACTCTCAAATTGGGAGTCCAGCCCATTTTCCCCCGCGCCCCAGAATCCTATATATACAGCTACTTATTAGATATCTTCACCCGGATTTCTACCAGACATAACGAACGTAACAGGTCCAAACCTGAGCTTCTAATGCCCTTTCCTCCTCCCAAACACTTCCTTCATAGTCTTTGCCAGCTCAGTAAGTGACCACTCCATTCTTCCAGGTCCTTAAGCCAAAAACTTGGTAGTCATCCTGACTTCTGTTTCTCTTTCATCACACCCACACGTAATCTGTCAGAATCTGACCGTTTCCCACTATCTCCACTGCCACCACCCTTGTCGAGCCAACTTTATCACCTGAATTATTACAATAGCCTCCTAATTGTCTCTCTGTCCCATACTCGATTTCCCGAATGTATTTTCAATAGAACAGCCAAAGTAATCTCTTAAAATATAGATCATATCCCATCACTTCCAGGCTCAAAACCTTCCAGTGGCTCCCTGTTGCACTCAGATGAAAAAAAAAAAATTTTTTTTAAAATTTAAGCGTAAATGTCATATTTTGGATCATATTTTCAGTTGGATCATATTTTCAGTTGAGAATGGATCATATTTTCAGTTGAAAATGATGAAAAGCTTCGTAAAGGTCCTATGTGATCTGACTCTGTACTAGCCAAATTGACCTCTTCGATTTTCATTCAATATTTCAGGCATGATCCTGCCTCAAGATCTTTTTTTTTTTTTTAAAGATTTTATTTATTTATTTGAGAGAGAGAGAGAATGAGAGAGAGCACATGAGAGAGGGGAGGGTCAGAGGGAGAAGCAGACTCCCTGCCGAGCAGGAAGCCCGATGCGGGACTCGATCCAGGGACTCCAGGATCATGACCTGAGCCGAAGGCAGTCGTTTAACCAACTGAGCCACTCAGGCGCCCCCTGCCTCAAGATCTTTGTACTTGCTCTTCCCTCTGTCTGGAATGCTTTTCCACCAAATAGAGACATGACTTCCCTCAGTTCCTTCTGGACTTTACTCAAATGTCTCCGCAGGGAGACCTTCCCTGATGATTCTTTCTAAAATTTCAACACACACACACACTTCCTATTTCCCTTCCCTACTCTGTTTTTTTTTTTCTTAATGAGTCACTATCTAATAACATGCTGTATGTTGTACTTATTTGTTTTGTTTTGTTTCCATTGAGAAATATAAGCTGCATGGGGCAGCGAATTTCTAGACAGAAATTTGTTCCCTCATGTACCTCCAGTGTCTCAAACAGTGTCTGTCTCCTAGTAGACATTCAACAGCTTTTTGTTAAATGAATGTCTGAGCACGAAAAGATGGCCAGAGCCCAGAGTCCAAAAGAAAAGAGGAGGTTGCACAGTAATGCAAATATACTTAATGCTGCTGAATCATACATCAAAAATGGTTAAAATGCTGAACTTTATGTTACGTTATTTGTATTTTACTACAATAAAAAATTAAAAAGTAAAGAGGAGATGTGATTCTGGACAGGTAGTCAGGAGCAAGTTCAAGAAGGATGGGACAAACTACCTTACAGAGATAGGACTTTATCTCCAGAGTTCATTTTAAGCAGGGGATTGTTTAGACCATACTTGCAATTCAAAAACCAGCTCCAGCTGTGGTATGTAGAGGACTACAGCAGAGTCATAGGAAGACCGCTCCACACAACAACAGCAAAATATACATTCTTCTCAAGTGCACATATGACATTCTCCAAAAGAGACCATATGTTAGGCTCTCAATAAATTTTAAAAGATTAAAAAATAAAAATAAAGAAAATAAAAAAAGATTAGGGGCGCCTGGTGGCTCGGTCGGTTAAGCGTCCGACTCTTGATTTCAGCTCAGGTCATGATCTCAGGGTACTAGTGATCGAGCCCCGCATCTGGTTCCCTGCTCAGCAGGAAGCCTGCTTCTCCCTCTCCCACTCCCCCTGCTTGTGTTCCCTCTCTCGCTGTGTCTCTCTGTCAAATAAATAAATAAAAAATTTTAAAAAAAAAATGAAAAGAGTTTATAATGCTTCAGCCTCTATTTCCAAAGGATGAAACCAA